TGAGATGACAATTCTTGTAGATACCTTGATACAGTTTCTGAGACACTCAGCCCCGAATTTTGATATACAGATTAGATATTGTTTTATATTACTTGTGTTTGGTGCAATTTGTTATGTGCTAATATATAAGTATATTAAAAATAAAGACGTGACTATGAGAAAATGAGATGAGAGAACATGAAAACTGAATTTAAAGTGTTTAGTACTTTGCCTGGCATGTTGTAATTATGTAGTAAATAAAAGTTATTTCTATCATTATTGTTCTATTATTTATTTATGTATAACCATGCAGTAAGTCGGAAAATTATCTAAATTAAGAGAAACTGATTGAATTGAAGCAAGATCAATAAAGGAACTTACATTCAATAAGTAAAGCCTTTAAAATGTACAGCCAGTCTCTCAAATGAGACTCTGTGAGCCGAAAGATAATGGAAGAATATAACACAAAAATGAGATGAACACCTCACTAAGTATATTCTATACTAGTAGATTATCATTCATATTTGAAGGAAGAATACAGAGCTTCATGGACAGGCAACCAGATTTCCAAGAAATGTTAAAAGTCTGTTCCATGTCTTCCATGGAGGTAGTTTGTAGGGTGGGAGTGAACCTCGGGACATTGGTGGAAGGAAGGGGACACTGTTAGAGGGAGTAATGTGGGAACACGTTATACCCAGAATAGTTCTTTTACAAACAACTTTGTAAATCATGATGTCTTAATAAAAAGTCATTGTATCACTGTCATCCCATTGTTCATCTATTTCCTTGAGTAGTAACCGATAACATCTCCATTCATCCCAGCCTTGAGATTTTAGCAAGTGCCATATTGGAGGCTCTTTCAGGGTGAGGGGAATGAGATCCATCATTGATACTGGGTTTTGTTACCACATACATTGAATACGCCACGGGGAACGTGCCAGAGTCTGCTGTACTGGCAGGATACTCTTGGAGCCTGACAGGTTCTCCAAGAGCTAAAACTAGATAATAAGAGGTTGTGTGGCTGCGAATGTGGCCACATGCATCCAGGAGCTTGGTTTATAGTCTCTGGATCTGACCGGTGATGGAATTACACGGTGCCAGGGGCAGTTGGTGAGTGTAACTGTCTAGCTACTGGAAGATGGGGGATCTGGGTGGAGGAGGCCCAGTACCGATCCGAGTAGGCTTGGAGAACTCAGCCCTGGGTCCCACACACCTGGGTTCCTCTGCCAGTTCCTTCATGCATTAGCCTCATCTGTGTGTGAAGAGTGGTCTTAAGCATGGCTGTGGCTGGGTTCCAGAGGTATTCAGCTGCCAGGGCTGAAAACAGTTAATGAAATTATATGAAAAAAAAGGAGTAGTAGAAAGGGATGAAGAAAGTCATAATGATATTTCTGGGCCTCTCTGAGTGTATCTCCTAGATTAATTGAACACTCTCTTCATGTTAGTAAAGTGTTCATTGTTTGGTTAGCTCAAACTATCTGATTATTTTAGTTGGAACAATGAAGCACAATTTTCACTACATCAAAGCCACACATCCACAGTTATAATGTATTTGGCATCATCCAGAGTAAGTTACTAGAAAAAAAGTATTAATGCAAATTGTTAATATAAAGCCTTTGCAATCTTACATGTCAAATGACCTGTACAAGGATAATACCTGTGCAGTCAGGAGCAACGCTAAAATATTTAGCAACCACATACATTGTAAGCAGCCATCATGCGTGCTTATGCTATAGAACTAAATGTCGATGTCATGTGCATTGTAAAAACTTAGTTTATTCAGCATTAGGTGACAATGAGTTTCCTTTATGGGTTAGTCATCATGCTGAAAGATGGGACCTCAAGATGGAATATACTGTCAAGGACCTCATAGTCTAATAAAGAGAGCAAAAAAAGAAAGTTATCAATGACAATATAGTGATATAAATACTACAATAGAAACACGTGCTGGAAATCACAGATTCAGACAACTAAGATGAAGGGAAAAAAATTTGATGGCCCAGTCTCAGCTAGAAATAGAAATTGTGTGCTACTTGGAGCTAGAATTCATTCTTTAGACCAGGTAAGTAAGAAGTACTCAGGTTTTTGGAGGTGGGTCTCTAATGCAAGGGTACAATTCTTCCCACTCTGAGAAAAGTGATAATGGCATAATTTGTTGAAAATGGCTGGAGTGAAAAGAGAATGGAAAGACCAGAGAACAAAGGGCCACATGAAGGAGTTTGGTTTTTATCTGATGACATGAAAAATACATTAAATAGATTAAGAGAAGTTAAATTTTTATTTTCCAAAACAATTCTAATGACACAGTGCATAATAGTTTAGAAGCAGTCAAATTAAAAGCAGAAATGTCAGTTGGGGTGACATTGTGGTCACATAGGAGAGGAGCAATAATGACTTGAATCAAGATCATTCTGATGATGTTTTGTAAAAAAAGGCTAATTAAAATAATTACATATAATTAAATATAAATAATTAAATATAACCAAATGGAGTGAATAAATTATTAGATATAGGGTTGAAGACATGCAAAAATGAGAATGACTTACAGTATGGGTTTGCTAACAATGTGGATGTATGTGTAATTTACAAAAACAAAAATAATAGAGCAAAAGAAGATAATGGTGGGTATGCTGCCTTTGTCCAGGAGGAGAAAAATACAATTCCAGGTCTATAAGTTGAATTTTTTTTTTCTTTTTGGGTCACACCCAGCAATGCTCAGGGGTTGGTTAATCCTGGCTTTTCACTCAGAAATTACTCCTAGCGGTTCTTGAGGGACCATACGAGATGCCGGGGATCAAACCCGGGTCACCCTTGTGCAAGGCAAATGCCCTACCCGCTGTACTATCTCTCCAGCCCTTGTAAGTGGAAATTTTATCTAGAAGGGTACAATATATCATTTTTTTAAAAAATCATTCTAATTTTTAGACAAAATAAAGCCAGCTCTTTACTTCAAAAGATTTTAAAGAGGGGCTGGAGCAATAGCACAGCAGGTAGGGCATTTGCCTTGCACACTGCCAACCCATGTTCGATTCCCAGCATCCCATACGGTCCCCTGAGCACCGCTCCAAGAGTGATTCCTGAGTGCAGAGCCAAGACTGTACATCGCCAGGTGTGACCCAAAAAGCAAAAAATAAAAATAAAAACAAAAGATTTTAAAGAATATTAAAGGCCCTCTGGAAAACAATATTGCTACAATAGAAATATCAACATTTAGATGGTGGCACTCTGGTTGAGTATAGATTTTTACTTGTCTAGGAATTTAAACCCAAATTCGTAACATTGTGGGAGGAGAGAGAGAAAGAGCATCCTATTAAGAAAACTGCAAGGGATACTGTAAGAAAGGAGGAAAGCCATAAATCAGCGGAGAAATCCTTGTCTAATCTGTGTCATATGATGCAAAGATACCAAATACGATGTAGCTGTTGGTCTCTGTAATTAGAAAATGATATTGGTGAGTTGAGAAATGAGGCTGTGAGCCATCAAGAAAGGGACACTACTTTCAAGAAGTTCTGTCCGTTGAGAGGCACACACTATGCTAGGCCCACTGAAAGAAGGATGATAAAATATGGGTGGGTTCCTATTTCAAAAATTTCCTTATGAAATAAAACACATTGTGTTTCTATGTATATGGGACTGTACGAGTCATCTATATGAATGCTTATCACAACTTTCAGTCGAAGTAAATATGTTTTATACTCCGGCATTCAGGCAATGACTGATGATATAAGGAAAATACCATTTGGATTTAGTGTAAGTAATGGAAAGGGAATGGGCTGCGGAGTCAAGTTGACTTGAATCTACATTTTTCATATAATTCTCTATCTGTGGAATATTCAGATGGAAACTAAATTTATTTATCTTTAAAATAAATCTGATGATAAATAAATCTGGGGGTTATTAAAAACATGCAGATAAATACCTCGGAGTATAAGTAATAATTATTTATATATATATACATATCAACAGATTTGGTGATGTCAGCTTTTGTGAGAGACAATTTGAGATGTGAGATTTAACTAGACTATAATTTTCTCCTGGGCACCACATAATAGAATGAAAATGTACCCTCCCTGTACGCCCCTAAGTACCATTATCATCCCAGGAAGAGGCAAGGCAGTCTTACAAGGTTTGGCTATCAGTTATTATAGCTTTAGTTTGCACAGTAAAATTATTTCATCTTTTAAGATCATTAGACAAACAGTATGCTCTTTATTTAGATAGAGTAAGTCATTCATCATTCAGAAAAGACATCCGTAGCTGTTTTATCAGACTCATCGTAGTAAAGCTTGCTGTGCTAGTTGTTTGTGTTCCTACAGCGTTTTCTTTCTGTCTTGGAGAGGTCAGTGAGAGAACTGGGAAACAAAATGACAATTTAGAGGCCTCTATAAGCTCTGGATCTGTTTTTTACAATTTAACATATAAAAGTGATTATATCAAATGAAATTAAATGCATTGTTATGGGGCATTTATGACATCTCATTTAAAGAATTGCTGGGAATCCTTTAGAGAGCTCTTATTTCCAACCACCAGCCTGTATCATGAATAAAGCCTCTGGTATGGTACTTAGCAACTAATTAAGCTAAAAAGACAAATATGAGGCTTTTACATTTTTAATTTAAAAGCTTCTAAATGTAATTGTTTTTATAGTGCTACCAAAGTACAGTGCAGCAGTCTGTATTTTTAAGCCTCTAATTTCATTATCATAATTAATTTTGTATATAAAAAGGTCTGTCTAGGGGTAAGAGATATATTATTATTTTTCTTAAACAAATTTGTTAAACATCATGGTTTACATAGTTGTTTATAATACAGTTGCTTTAGATATTCCAGCATTCGGTGTTCTGACACCAATCCCACCACCCATGTGATCAAGCAAAAACAAATATACATGGTCTTTTTCAAACTCACTACGCTTCTACTAAGCTGTTAATACCATGTAATATGGAGAAGACTTCACGGCCACATGCTCCAGGAGCTGTGAAACTGGACCATTTGTTTATATGTTGACGGAGGTTGGGTGTAAAAATATGGAACCCTTCACAAATTTGCATGTCATCCTTTTGCAGGAGCCATATTAATCTTCTCTGTATCATTCCAATTTTATTTTTATTTTAGATTTTGGGATACACCCCACTATGTTCGGGGGGTCCTTCTGAATCTTCACTCAGGAATTACTCCTGGTGGTGCTCAGGGGACCTGAGTGCTGGGGATTAAACTCAAGTTGTCCACATGGAAGGCAAGTGCCCTACATGCTGTACTATCTTTCTGGCCCCCATTCCAATTTTATGTACTGCCATAGAAACTAAATGTTTGTTTGTTTGTTTTTAAATGTTACATTTTGTTTTAAATGTTAATTATGGTACTGGTTGTCATTGAAATTAAATGTTATTCTAGTGTAATTTTTTTCGGCAATGAATAATTTTTTTTTCTTTTGAGTCACAACGGGCGATGCACAGGGGTTATTCCTGGATCATGCACTCAGGAAATACTCCTGTGGTGCTGGAGGCACCATATGGGATGCTGGGAATCAAACCTGGGTGGCCACGTGCAAGGCAAACGCCCTACCCTCTGTTCTATCGCTCCAGTCCCTAATTTAATTATTAAGTAATTTTGCCCAAATATAATTCAGACATGAAAAATTTCAGTTCATAAGGCCCTTGCAAGCTATAATTTAAAATGCCTCTCTATTTTATCCTTATAATTTTTGAATGGGCTGAAGTGATAGCACAGTGGGTAGGCTATTTTCCTTGCACATGGCTGACCTGGGTTCAATTCCTCCACTCCCCTCGAAGATCCCGGCAAGCTACTGTAGGTATGGCAAACCCTACCCGTGACGTAGTCAATATGCCAAAAACACTAACAAGTCTCACAATGGAGACATTACTGGTGCCCAAGCTAAATTGGTGAACAACAGGAGAACAGTGGACCGTGCACATTTTGCTCAAGCATAATTGATGAACAACAGGAGGACAGGGGACAGTGGACTCTCTCTCTCTCTCTCTCTCTCTCTCTCTATATATATATATATATATATATATATATATATATATATATTTCTTGGAGACCCTGGCAAGCTACTGAGTGTATCCCACCTGCAGTAAGCTCCCCATAGTGTATTCAACATGCCAAAAACAGTAACTATGACAGGTCTCATTCCCCTGACCCTGAAAGAGCCTCCAATCATTGTTAAAGATGAGTAAGGAGAGGCTGCTAAAATCACAGGGCTGGGAGAAATAGAGACGTTACTGGCACCCATTTGAGTAAATCGTAGAACAACATGGTGAGTGATAATTTTTGAAGATGATAAAAATCACAATCAAATGGTCTCACTGAGTTATGTTGGGGTGCTTTTCTAGCCATCAACTGAGTAGAACGTTTCTTGCAGGTGTCTGTTTCACAGGAAAAAGTGCATGAGTTGGACATTAGCAGTCAGGATATCTTCAAAGCCTGTCTCCTCAATCTATGACCTCACCAGTGATGATTAGCAATTTCATCTCTACCTATTAGATGTGGTTTGAGTGATACCCAGTGATGGGACAGAAAGGAAGCCAATTAACACCTAATCTGTTAAAAAAAAAAAACTATGCACGCTGAAGGTTGTGTGTTCGAGGGCTCTCTGGATGGCTCTATCTCACTGCAGGTGTTCGGTGCCTTAGAGCCACTGTGTGTGGCCTCCATCCGGGCGGCTGTTGGCCAAGGGCAGAAGAAGGAAGAGACAAGGGCCAGGCCCGTTGATCTTTGTAGCAGTTTATTACAAGGAAGTTTATCCCATAGAAGAAATTTATGTTATGGAGGGCCTAAATTCACTCAAGCACATGTTCTCCTTGCTAATCTCTCTTTGGTCCATTTTGCAGCCTTGCTCTCTCTCTCTCCAGCTCTTTAGTCTCTCCAACTCCCCTGCAGTCTGGGCTGACACTCCAACCAGTCAGGTAGCCAAATCAACATAAGAAAACCCTTCCTGGGGGCCCACCTAAAAGGTATTCTAAAGCCCATCCTGACTGCCCCAGGCAAAATACCTCCTTAAGGTGTTTTTCTCTTTTCCTCAGTCCAATAAAGTATCAACTATCAACTATTCCTGAGGCTATGCAGGAAGGAAAGAACAGTGTTATCCTGAACTAATCCAAGTCCTTTATTCTACAGAGGAGCAAACCAGCATCCAAGAGTAAGTAATGAAACATGCATGCCCTAACTTGGGGAGAGAAGAGGGGTCAAAGTCCAGTATAAATGTCATTATACTAAAGCTGTATTGCTTGGGATTTGGTTCTTAATAGAGCAGTTGCCTTACCTATATTTGGCCTAGGTTTGATACCTTGAAAACAGAATAAAAGAATAAATAAAATTAAAAAGATGTGGGGTCTAAGAGATAGTACATGGGGTTTAGGTACTTATTTGTCTTGGATGCTGCTGATCCTGATTCAAATCTGGTACCACAAATGATCCCCTGAGCAATTCAAGGTATTACTCCTGAACATAGAGTCAGAAATACTCCTGAGCACTTGTAGTTGTGGCCCTCAAACCCCAAATAAACAGGTAAAAAAACATGTCTGCAACATCCAAGTTTATATTGAAATTGTAATGCAGCATCTCTTTAGGGGAAGAGGAGGGGTAATAACTTATCTAGAATTTTGTTCATTTCTTTGTTCAAGATTGGATGCTTAGGATCACAGAATTCTTCATTTATCATTCTTTTGGATGCTTGCTGGGTACTCAGAAGAAGTGTATGGTATGTACAAGGGAAAATAATAAAGTTTGTAGAAAACTAATAGCAGCATCACATCATGATATGTTTATTGGTAGTTTTAAAATCCTACGATTGAAATTATAAATAGCCATCTTGAAACTTTATTTTATTAACACTGATTCTGTTCAAAGAAAATAAAATGCCTCCAAGTTTCCTGATACCATATACTTCAAAGATCTTAAATTGGATCAGAGCTGAAATAACACATTTCTGATTCAGGAACAACTTGTCTCCCTATGCCTAAAGTTCATATACTCTCCCTGAGAAATCTCATTCGTCAACATGATTGCATTGACAATTGATCTTTGTACTATTTAGGAATACTTATTTTTAACACAGCAAATGGGCAGCAGCAGTTAAATATTAAACACTATTTAAATTAGGGCATAAATATAACTATGCATTATTCAGAATTGAGATAAGCTGATATTCAAATCAGACAGAAGGTCACTGCCCCTTGGTGATCGTCCTCTCAAACTCAGGCAGTACCCGTTCTGTATAATGAAGTCAGCTCTTTGGCAGAAAGAATTTGCATCCAGATAGGGAAAAGGGACACATCATCTGTTTTCAGCATAAGCACTTTGTGCTGGTTTGATCTGTTTCAGTGAGCAACATGAGGATTAATCATGCTGTCTCTGTATATGCATATTCAGAATGGGCTTTTTCTGGGAATTTCCCCTCATCAAAGAGTCACAAAGTTATCTCCCACTTGGTTCCAAAAGCATGACCTCTCCACAATGACGGTGCACATAGATCAGGTATTTGCTTCCTCTTAGCTCAACTTTCACATTCTACTTTGCCTTTGCTTGACAGGGGGAAGGAGCTCTAATCAGAATTAACAATCTGTCTTGAAGTTAGGCCTGTTGACATTGCTAAACAGAGGTGGGAACCCAAGAGGTACAATCTTTATGGCTTGATGCTCACATGGTTTTCAATCAGTTCCTGAACATACCCTAGGTGTAAAACAGTTTCTCCCAGTGTTGATTTATTGAGGGTTATTCCTTTGTTTGCAGCTCTCTATGTCCTACTCATGACAATGGTAGTAGGATGATTAACGTGATTATTGCCTGTCTTTGTGACTTGAGTAGTTAAATTCACTTTTAGATATGGAATTAGGTCATTTTTCCTCAAGGGTACTTAGATGTGCTTTTAAAAATAAATTATGGCCAAAAGAAAATTTGCTCTATAGGTTGATATCCTTGGTGATTTATAACCCATGAGTGCCACTCTTAAAAATAGCAATAAGTGAGTAGTTGTTGGCATCTTCAAAAGTAGTAGATATTGTATGACCAATCTCATTTCTTTGGAGCTCTCTCTCTCTCTCTCTTTCTCTCTCTCTCTCTCTCTCCCCTCCCTTTCTCACTCTCACCTATTATGGGAGAATTTATGTTAATTACTGAATTGTCTGTTCCTGTGGGATAAATCATTTCAATATTATTTCTTTTGTTTTCTTTTGTTTTGTTTGGGGGCCATAACTGGTGGTACTCAGGGATTACACTCGGCTCTGCATTCGGGAATCACTTCTGGTGGGCTCAGAGAATTACATAGAATTGGAGGCATCAAACCCAGGTCATCTGTGTGTGAGACAAGTGCCTTACCCTTCATGCTCTCTCTCTCTCTTGCTATCTCTCTCATTCTCTCTCGCTCTCTCTCTTTCTCCTCATGAATTATATATTTACCGCCCTCCACAATAGAAATGAAGAATTTTTAATCTGCCAACTCTATTAAGCCCAGAAACTTTGGACTTTTGGGAGCTTGCTAGTCTGATGCAGCATCACTTCTCTGTAATTCAAATTTTGATTTAAAAATAAGGTAAGATTATCATAAAAACTAATTTTTATAAATTCTTCTTTTTCAGTTTACAGAGGACAGGACTTTTTCATTCGAGATCTTAGCTTTTAAACTCACAATATCTTTGTGCAATAAATTCATCCACAGATACCTATTTATTAAGTCACTAAGAAGGAAAGCAGAGGTAATTACCAAAGCCTTATGGCATCATTATTATAAGAAGTAGGGGACATTAATTACAGAATTACAATAAAAATAACATGAGTTGTGATTGAAACTGTGAAGGAAAATTATATATCACGTAGTAAGAGGATCAACATAACCTTAGATATAGGTAATAAGGAATAAAGAATAGACAATATAAAGATATTTAATATTGGGTAGAATGTGACCTGTCTCCTCACTGAATAACTAGATTTCTCAAAAACAAGTAACCATAAGTAAAGTAAAGTAAAGCCCCCCCCCCCTTTGATCATCGATTTGCTCGAGCGGGCCCAGTAACATCTCCATTGGAGACTTTGTTGTTACTGTGTTTGGAATATCGAATACGTCACGGGGAGCTTGCCAGGCTCTGCCATGCGGGCGAGATACTCTCG